CTAATAAATACATTTGAAGATACTTGGAGTGCCTGGATCCTCTTTCTACCAGGGTTAATTTTATGGACATTCCACCTATTTTACCTTTAGGTCCTCTAAAAACCCATCCTACACCAGACCCTATGTCTGACCCTAAAATGTCAATGTTTATCAGTAAAGGGTGGAAATCAGATGTTACTTGCCCCCACTTCACCCAGATTTTTTGGTATTTGTTATTTGCCAATGCCCAAGTTCCCTGTAATGCTGAGAGATAGTCAGTGTATGTAAAAAGACTATAAAATGTATTCTTTGGGTAAAGCCCTTGGTCTTAAACATAGAAACATAGAAACATAGAATGTGACGGCAGATAAGAACCATTCGGCCCATCTAGTCTGCCCAATTTTCTAAATACTTTCATTAGTCCCTAGTCTTATCTTATAGTTAGGATAGCCTTATGCCTATCCCACGCATGCTTAAACTCCTTTACTGTGTTAACCTCTACCACTTCAGCTGGAAGGCTATTCCATGCATCCACTACCCTCTCAGTAAAGTAATACTTCCTGATATTATTTTTAAACCTTTGTCCCTCTAATTTAAGACTATGTCCTCTTGTTGTGGTAGTTTTTCTTCTTTTAAATATAGTCTCCTCCTTTACTGTGTTGATTCCCTTTATATATTTAAATGTTTCTATCATATCCCCCCTGTCTCGTCTTTCCTCCAAGCTATACATGTTAAGATCCTTTAACCTTTCCTGGTAAGTTTTATCCCGCAATCCATGAACCAGTTTAGTAGCCCTTCTCTGAACCCTCTCTAAGGTATTAATATCCTTCTGAAGATACGGTCTCCAGTACTGTGTACAATACTCCAAGTAAGGTCTCACCAGAGTTCTGTACAATGGCATGAGCACTTCCCTCTTTCTACTGCTAAAGGTAAATACCTTTGTGTCAGATTATAGCTTAGTAATAATTGAGGATACCAAGGCAATGTTTGCCTTGGAAGAGGTTTACATAATAATTTATATATGCTTCAATTCAGTAATATTTTATTAGCATAATGATCAAATATTATTAAATAACTAATTGCTGAGATTGATCATTTAGTTAAAGTATATAGATATGGGGTAGGAAACCTTTAGCACTTCAGATGTTGTGGATTAGGTTTCCCATGATGCTTTGCCAGCATTATGGCTTTAAGAGCTTTATGGGAAATATAGTTCACAACTTCTGGAGTGCAGAAGGTTACCTACCCATTTTTAATACATATTTTAATATATCTATTAAAACTATTATTGAGGGGCCTGGCCAACTTCCGGTGATAGAGGACGCATGCTCTAGGAGCTTCGAGCATTACAGACCCGATTAGCAACGTTAAGACAAGCTAACCTACTGATTTGTACATCAAAAGTGGCCCCTAATAAAAGA